GTGTCCATCTGTTAAATCCATCCCAAGTGCATGGCACTTTGTAAATATTATGTAAAAAACTGGTGAATGTACTCTCCTCCCCTCCCGCCCCCTATTTCTACACAAACAATATTAGCAGGTCCAGGAACAAACTGCAAAGGAAGGAAAACGAGGTAAAATTCTCTCAGTTCATTAATTGTTGAAAGAAGTTCCCAAATGGACCCCAAATGTTCTAAAGATACACAGTTTGATGAGCCATTTTATTTCCTTGTCAAATGTCCTGTTGAGGCAAAAATAAAGCTGCAGGAAATCTTGTGACAGAAAGCTGCTGATTTCACCTGTGGCTTATGTGTGTGGCAAATGAGCCCTGGGTTTAGAGACCCGTGTTCACCCAAATATCTGGATGGCCTTGCCCTGGGGCCCAGATGAAAGTGAAAATTCTGAGGGGGTGACTCATCAAATCTGAGGTTGCTGTTTACAGCTAAAGGCAGTAACCTAAGAGCTGGGAGGAGTTCCCTCCCCGACCCCCCAAACGAAAGCGAAAGAGGCAAAGTTAACTGCTTGAGCTGGGGTAGGACTAGCAGTCCCTCCCTGAACAGGGCTGAGGATGGCTGCACCCGGCTACTTCCCGCTGCTGGTCGAGGGGTCCTGGGGTCCCGATCCCCCGAAGAGCTTGATCACCAAGTTGCAGTTGTACTTCCAGAGCCAGAAGAGATCGGGAGGCGGGGAGTGTGAGGTCCGACAGGAACCCGGCAGCACGGCCCGCTTCCTAGTGCTCTTCCACCCACATGACGGTGAGGGGCGACGGGGCGGGGGTGAGAGGAGACCATGGGGCTCTGCCTGTGGGGACACTTGGACTGGGGCGCGCAGCGGGACCGGCTCCAGCAGCAGCAGTTGGGGGTAGGCGGGTTGCAGAATGGACCAGAAATGCGCGGAGTCGCTGAGTTCCTCTGCCCGGGGCCTAGGAACTCAGCAGTGCTGCCTCTGCCTGGAGGTGGCAGGTGGGGGCACAACCGTGCCAGGGAGAACCTAAAGGCGCTGAGAGCCTGGGTACTGGCCTCATTTTACAAGGCTACATAGGGCGTTAATGTATTAATAGGGAGTGTGCTAATGGCAGAGTTGCATCTCTTGCGATTTTGGTCTTCTGCCAATTGAGGCAGCAGTTCTAGAACTCCCAAGGTTTATGGGAATACGATTTTAAGGGAAGAGAACGTTTCCAGGGATGAAAGTCCAACTATACGTTAGGGAGATAAATTTGGTTGAAAATAGGCACATTGGTTTCTGTTGGGAGAGACCATGAAAATCAGACCTTTGAAGAGATAACTGCAGTTCTTCTGAGTGAGAACAAGTGAGTCCTTAACAATGAAAGTCAGTGTGTGCTGGGCTGCATATTGGCGCTTTGGCCAGACGGGTCATGCTGTGCTGTCTGTTCCTAAAACACATAGATAGGAAGGTACTGACATCAGGCCAGGCCTTGAGATATGGTCTCATGGCCCCTTCCCAGAACGCAGGCCTTCTTTCTCAGAAGGCCTGGAAGTCTCATTCCAAATTTGGGAGACAAAGGACTGGAAAAAGTATAAATAAAGAGAGTTTCCTCCATATTGGGGGCCCAGAATTTGAAAGACACATTTTTCTCTGGGCCTCCACAGAATTTAATAATAAAATGTAACTCCTGTAGTAGGCACTGCAGTTCAGCCTCTGCTTCAGCAGGGTCCTGTAACTGTAGTCACTGGCCAGCTCAATAAATCCTCGCTTGCTGTTTAAGACCTAATTGGAGTCGGTGGTCTTATTCTCGCGAATGTCGCTCCACAACAAGTGTGGAGCTGGAAGAGACATATTTGTGTGCTGTTCTGGATTTGGTAACTGATTCTCTGGGAATGGGCAGTGCTCCATTTGAGAGGGAGAAAGGGAGAGCCTTTCTTTCTGTTAATTTTTAGGGCGGGGGGAAGGGGCTAAGCAATGGGAGGGGTCATGAGATTTCCCCATGGGTCATGGAGCTTCCCTGTGGTTCTGGGGTCACCTGGGAACGAGCAGAGGCCTGCTTAAAATCACGTTGCCTGGGTGAAATAGAGAGAATTATTGGAGGGAGATGACAGCTTGCTCCTGATCACCACGGTCTTTGTTGGTCGTTCGCTGGTACCTGTCCCTGGGTTTCAGGCTGGTCCTCAGACTGGGTTGAAGGTGGTTGAGAGTTTTGAGCTTTTGAGGGGGAAGTTCCCCCTCGAAAGCAGTTGAGCAGCTGAGTTCTCTCCTCCCGCTTGCTTTTGCTGTTGAAGAAAAGGGGAGGCCCTGGCTGGTATGTTCAGTGGTTAGAGCATTGGCCAGTGCACTGCAGGATTGCAGGTTCAATCCCGTGTGGATGTGTCTCTCTCACATCGAAGTTTTTCTCTCTCTCTCTCTCTCTCTCTTTCTCTCTCTCCCATCCACCTCCTTTCCACTCTCTAAAAATCAATGGAAAAAATATCCTCTGGTGAGGATTAACAACAATAACAACAACAACCACAACAAACACACACAAAAAAGAAAGGGGGAGGACGAATATCAAACATCTGCTTGCTTAAGACAACCACCAGGTCCTTTAGAGGGAAGCACGTGACCAGACACTCCCAGAGCACACACTTTTTCCATTGGAATCTCCCAGGAGAGGATGTGGACAACTCCTAATCCCGCTTTCCTTCCCTGGATTTGAGAAACATTTGGGCCAGAGGAGAGGCAAGGAGGCTTACAAGGCCATGAGAGCAATTGGAAAGCTTTAAGCAAGGATCCAGGAAGGAAAGATGAAACCCAGAGAGGAAAGGGGAACACAGAAGAGTGTGAAAGAAGGGAGGCGGGCAGGGGGCAGGAGACAGGAGACCTGCTGGGCCCAGAGCTTTATGGAAACAGGTACAGAGTTTTCCAAGGATTAATTTCACCAAGTAATGCACAGAATTGCAGCTATATGATATAAGGCATTTCCTCAAGGGATGTTACCACTTTGATTCCAACTGTTAGCATCACCATGGTTCTGGCCCTTAGCAACTCTTCTTTTCTTCTTTAGCATCTCATTAACCCTCAGCAGGTTAAACAGACACAGCCCAGCTCTGTCCTGGAGACTCAGGAACCCTGAGTGTGGGTGGGTGAGGGCATCAGCACTTTGAACCAGCACCCTTGGTGACTCTGAGGCACTAAAGTTTGAGAATGCTGGTTGTTGATGTCCCTGGATGAACAAAATGGGAGCCCATTATAGGAAATACACACAGCATAGAAATACAACCAGTGCAAAATATGATTCTGTGATGATATCATCATTCTGTTCTAGCCCTCAAATTAGAACCTATTTCAGTCTCTTGCCAGGTTCTTCCTTCACCTGTTCTAGCCCACGACCCCCTTCTCCCACCCCCAGGCTGCTCCTATGGCCCCTTTGTGTTACCCTCAGCACAGACACCTCATAATCCCTGTAACTGATGACCTTTTATGGTCAAAGGTCTTGGGGAGTGGAAAGTCCCAGTCAGTTTCGGTTTCCTATCAGAAGCAGCTTTCTCAGCAGCAAGTTGACAAGAAATTTGCTAACAATGAATGACCTTCCCTGGCAGTCCTAGGGCAGGAGATCTTGTCTTTACAGGGAGACCCATTCCCTCCACACCAGGAAGTGGCCTCAGCAGGTGCAGTCTTGTCGTTGAGAAGCTGTCTTACTTTTATATAGTTCATTGAATTTCTGAAAAGTTGAGTGTAAATTGACTTGGAAGATTTTTGGATGTGTACATTTATCATCCTCTCTCATAATAAGTTGGCTCCTGATTATTGTCAGTGTCTTTGGGGTAAGGAAACCCATTAATAAAAGGAAATGTGGATGATTTGAGATTAGTGCAGGAAGGACATAGGTCAGGGTGGCTGGACATCAGAGATTCAGTTTTTTTCCTCCCAGATTCACCTTTTCCTTGTTGGGGAGCACTTACTGATCTTTTTACCCTCTGTCCTCTTGAAGTAGTGGTGCCCATGCATATTGCACACAGAACAGGAAGGCACACTTATTTATTTTTAAAATAATTTAATTGATTTCAGAGAGGAAGGAAGAGGGAGATAGACCTATTAATGAGGAGGGAGAATCAAAATCCAGGCATGTGCCCTGACCTCTTGGTTCATAGGTCAATGGTCAACCACTGAGCCACACCAGCCAAGCCAGGCTAGCACTTTTATTTTATTTTACTTTATTTTTATTTTTGTTAATCCTCACACAAGGATATTTTTTCCACTGATTAGAAGGGATGGGGGAGTAAGGGGGAGAAAAAGAGAGAAAAATAAACATAAATGTGAGAGAGACACATTGATTGGTTTCCTCCTGCATTCAACCTTGACTGGGGCAGGGGGATCGAACCTGCAACCTATGCCCTTGACTGGGAATCGAACCCACGGCCCTTTGGTGTGAGGGTTGATACTCTAACCATTGAACAATACTGGCCAGGGCCAGGCTGGCACATTTAAATGCCCAGATATGACTCTACCAAAGTGTGGGGAATAATAAAAGAAAGGTATCACAGAGGTTCATGACTCTGGACAACCTGGCATACAAAACTTAACTTCCTCTCTAGCACCGGGTTCTTATCCAGCCCTTACTCCAGCTTAGGGCAGCCCCTTAGGAGTCTGTGTGAAGGTATCTTCCCTCCCATTAAGAGTGAAATTGGAGTCCGGCATTTCCACTTATATTGTTTCTGGGGGACTATTTCATCCAGTTGGCATCCTACCCTTCCATGGATGGTTGAGGTAGGAAAGCTATTTAAGTCCCTCTTTTTGAAAGACTCCTACCTTTATCCTTGGCCTCATCAGGCCAACCTTATCAGAATGCAACATGGCAACCCAACATTCATGGCAGGGCTACAACAGTGAACAGTAGGGAACTCTCAAAGGTTCCCCTTCACCCTGACTTTTTTGTACTGTCTGACTGTGTCGACCACATCTCCTCATCTAAACTCACTCCCTATTCTCCACACTGTGAGATACACTAACTTTGCCTTTCTTTCTCTGCCTGCCTCTTATAATTATAACTTACATTTGCATACCTCTTGTGTGTATTACAAAATTCATTCACAGAACACTGGTTTGAGTGAGAAAACAGATTTAAGAGACGTGAAGATAGAGTTTCTCAATGTCACTCATCTAGAGTTGGAATTCTAATCCAGGTTTTTTGAATGCTTATGTTCACTGTTCAGTTTTTTTCACTACAGCCCGGCTGCCTGATGTGCTATTTTATTTTTTAATCTCTCCATCCATTTTTTCCTTTTCCTTTTCCTATCAGATTTGAGGCTTTTACCTTCACAAGTTAAAGAATTGATTGAAAAACTTTTTAACTAGGCTCCTGGTCATTCTGCTTCTGGTTACCCAAGTCACCTTCCTAAAACATGGTTTTTATTATGCCATGTTCCAGCGCCCAATGTTCACGGGCTTACCGTGACAGATGCTTTAATTATTTCATTTACTAAACAATAAATATTGCTCCCTTTCTGAGTGCTCACTGAGCATCAGGTACTATACTAAATTCTTTATGTTTCTTCAATTTAATCCATTTAACACCCATATAATACAATCTTTATTAATTGCTTATTATACAAGAAGACTGAGGCTTTGGGAATACTTAGGTTAAAAAAATAAGTTTAAAGATAGAATTCAAATCCATGTCTGCTTGCTAAACTTTTCCTTTTATTTTTTACTAGTGGCCCAGTGCACGAAATTCATGCACATTAGAAGGGAATTAATTAGAGAAAATATTTTAATATTGCTGTTTTCCCTTTCTCTATAATAGAAGTGTCAGAGATGAAAG